ACCTGCTGACACCCCGTAAATGTGTTTTATCTAATGCAAAAACACTAGGTTTAAAATTTTTTTGAACAAAAATTATTTTTAGGGGTAGCTCAAGGCCCTCAAAAATTTGACGGGTCCCTAATATTTTGAAAAAAAAACTTTTTCTAAAGTATGTCAACCTGGTACTCAAAATAAGCAAAATTATATAAAAAATTTAAAAATGATAATAATTTTTTATAAAAATAATTTTTTTAGGTATAAATGCATAAAAACTATTGTTTTTAAGCTGAAAATAAAAAAAGTCAATATTTTCAGGTTTTTTGAGAATAATTTTTTTTAGGCATGTTTTTTATGTAAAATGATTATTATTTTTGAAGTTTTTATACAATATCGCTTCTTTTGAGTACCAGGTTGACATACTTTAGAAAAAGTTTTTTTTTCAAAATATTAGGGACCCGTCAAATTTTTGAGGGCCTTGAGCTACCCCTAAAAATAATTTTTGTTCAAAAAAATTTTAAACCTAGTGTTTTTGCATTAGATAAAACACATTTAGGGGGTGTCAGCAGGTTTTTCTCAAAAAAGTTGTTTTATGGACCACCCTAATATTTAGCTATATAAATCCAATTTATTTATCTTGATTCCATTCTTCATCTTTTATGTTTATAGTTTGGCTCCTTGAAGCATTTTATGTTTTGTTTTTTTTATTATGAGTAATTTAAATCCGTTGTGATGTCTTTTAAATTAAACTAAAGTTTACTAAAAATCAACATAAAAATTACGAACAACACTGCAGAATCACAATAGGTTACCAAAAGCAGGTATACTGTTTTCCAGTTGTTGTTTTTTTTTTATATATATCTACTTATCTATATAATACGATAGTACGATTGTTTATATTTCATTCATTTTTTTTTTCTTTACCTTTAAGTGTTAATAATTTTGTTCTTTGAATGAGATTAGTTAAACAAGTCGGCTTTCCATTAAAGATATTGGTTTCAAAATTGAACACTATTGGCAAAATGCTTACATTATTAGGTAGTTTTTAAAAATCTGTTTTTTATTTAATCCACTTTTTTTTAAATATACTTTTTAAATATACTTTTCTATAACAATCCAAACTAATATGGAATCACGTAGCTTTTTAAAAATGTTTTATTGTCGTCCCTATCGGTAATAAATATTTTAAATTATTTGATATGGTTTTCTTTACAATAGGATATGCTTGTCTCCTCGGTGCTGTAAATGGTGGCTTCAACTTTGTTTTTTTAAGAAAAATGTGTTGTATATATGCTTCTGTTTTAAAATATTTTTGTTACATATTTAATTTTATATCATGTAAATATATTTTTTTTAAAGATATGAAAACTTGATACTTGCTTTTTTATGGATTTTTAAAAAGTGAACAAAGTTTTGAATATATTTTTTAACTGTCTTATATGATTTTATCAATTTTATTAAAGCTGAATAATTACTTCAACAATATTAAGTAAAGTCCAATTGCTTTTATTATTAACCAAAAAATACAAAAATTAATGAAATAAAACTAATAATTTGACGCCAAGTTAAGGCAAAATGTATTTCGGACATTTTATAAAATTAGTATAAATATGGATTGGATGTATGCTGAAATAAATATGTTGATACACGTTAGCTATTAAAGTAAATTCATATATTCCTTTATTGTTTTTTTATAAACAAGTTTCTGCTGGATTACTAAATAAAAAAAAATGTTGGTTTAATAATAATCTTTATCATAATAATATAGGATCCGTATGCAGGGCTAAGCCGGAATTGCTATATATTTTTTAACTTAAAGTTTTTCAGATATCTAACTTCTGTTTCTACAAGTTTTGGTGTAATATTTTAGATGTTTTTAAAATATTCAAAAAGTATATTAATAATATTGAAAAGTTTAGGTGCGATAGTGACATATTTTTAAGCTCTTAACTCAGTAAAATGAAAAGTTTTTAAAAACAAGAAACGATTTACCTTAAAGCAAATTTGAGAGTAGAATATATTCCCAATATTTACCTTAACAATTTTACGGAATTCGAAAATTTGACATCGATGTTCTGTGCATATAATTCAAGTCATTTTTAACTCCTACATGGTTGTGATTTGCGCATTTAATGTCTGAACATTGCAAAAGAAATGGTTAACTTTATCTTTAATGAAGCTAAAAGTTCTCTTAAACTAAGAAGCCAAGAAAAATCAAAGTGAGCTCAAATAAAAAAATGTATAAATAAGTTTATATTTCATTAGAGAAAGTAAATAAAGATCAAATTGATAGTAATTTTTTATTTTCTACTAACCCGTATTACGGGTTGCTTACTGTATAAATAAGTTTATGTTTTATTAGAGAAAGTAAATAAATATAAATTTTTTAGAAATGATTTATCTACTACTAACCCGTATTACGGGTTGCTTACTGCTAGTATATTATGAAGCAAAAGGTCAACCACAATATTCTTCAGATTTGATCCAACGCATAAATATCTAAACAAGCATATGAAGTTTCACTTGAATCATTTTCATTACCTTAAATTGCTTTATTAAATAAAATCAAACAAGATGGAGTTGATGTAATAAGGGTTTTAAAACATTTCATGAGAAGGTTTCAATAGATAAAGATATAATACTAATTGTAAATATCTTCAGAAACAGGCACAATATTGTAGTGGTTTTTATGTGGGTGCTGATGACAATGGTACTATGTACAAAAGAGTTTGTGCATTCAAGATTGTTAGTTTAAAGAAATCTATTCCTTCTGTCATAAAAGCAGTACCCGACTTTACCATTAGTGGTAAATGGCTTTGAGAGCAAATATCAGGTTCTATTAGTTCTTTTTCTTTACCTGGTTTTAAAATTCGAGGAATTATTATTAACAATCATCAAGCAAATGTATATGCATTTAATTTACTTCATTTGAAATTTGGTAATCAATCAAATTTATTTATTTATCATCCTGATAGTCTAAATAATAAAATATACATATTTTATGATAGTGTTCATATTGTTAAAAGTATGTTAAAATAATTTATTACACTGTAAAAAATTTGACTTTTTATCAATTACTTTTAATATAAAAGATGATGTCTATAATTGTCCAGCTGGTTTTATAACTTGGAGAGATTTTCATCTTCTACATTCGATAAATGAACAACTTTAAGATAATTTTACAAAAGCTTTAAAATATATATATCAAAGTATTCAGCCTGGTTATAAAAGCAAAATGTTTCTCTTGCACTGTCAATTTTTGATGAAACAACAAATGCAAGTTTTAAAAGTTATATTTTTGAACGAAATGACATTTCTTGTCTTTTAAGTATTTTTCAAATTCAAAACAACAATTTAGTCCTAATAAACTTGGTAATGCAATTATTTTGATGATGGTAAAGCTACATTTTTTGGCAACTTGCTGATTGGATTAAATTTTGGCAAAAATCTCCAACTTTTACCTTATCAAAACAACCATTATCTGCTATCATCACAACTATGCGTTCTCAAGCAATACTTGTAGACGAGCTTTTTGAAGAAGGATATTTGTATGTACTTACTTTAGGACTTCAAAGTGACTCTATAAAGCGTAGATTTTCTTAATATAGAGAGATGAGTGGTGGCAGATTTTTAGTAAGTTTACTAGAAGTTTAATATACAGATATTATTTTAGCTTGTCGGACTTAAATTAAGGAAAATGTAAATTTTTGGGATGAAGTGTTAGAGAGCAATTGTAAAAACCCAATTAATAATGAAAAACCTATAACATTAGATTTAAACTCAAATGAGATATCAGAAGTAACTTTTTTACCTGAGACGGAAGAAGTTGCAACAACAATTGCTGGTTATACAGAAATTAATAAAAAGAAGCAAATGTAGCAAATGCAAGTCTATGCAGACTTGCGATTGCTAAATTTTTAAATTGCTTACTACAGATGCAAGCAATTTAAAAACTTGCCCACATCTACAAACACTTTCACAAGGTGGTCTTACTGTGCCTTCACTTTAACGTAAGGATTTCACATGTGGATGTTTTGCAGTCTTAGATAATCTTTCAAATTTAATAACTAAACAAGGTGCTTATGTCAAAGATGTGTCAAACTTTTTTTTATCAAAATACTTTTCATCAGTTTGCTTTACTTGCAATTTAAACAAAGAATGGGGCTTTAAATCTGCTTCAAAAATTATAGTTAATGTCTTTTTTAACAATAAGCAGAAGATAATCAATTCCACTGTACGAAAAGATGCTGTTAAAAGTTTTAAAAGAGACTGAGAGAAAAATAGTACTTTAATATTAATTTAATACATAAATTGTTAGTATGAAAACAAAAAATGCCAGTTTATCGTCAATACTGTTTTATTCATAACATTCCTACTCGAAACATTATATTTATACTATCTATTTAGTCTAGATGAGATATAATTATATGATATAAACATTATATTTATACTATTTATATAGTCTAGATGAGATATAATTATATAATAATTATAGATATAATTTCTCTATAGTTGCGCAGCCATCTTTTTTTATAATAGGCCTCTTAAAATCTGCCTCTAAAATGTAACATATACAGCCGCGTAAAATAGTAGGCCATGTGTGGACTAAACCAACTAAGTCAAATTATTTAAATTATTTTTCTTAATTCCATTAACTTAGTCCGCCTAATTTTACTTTCTTCCCTACGGGCATTTGTTTTTGAAAGTTACGTTCTAAAAGTTTTTTAAACATTTTATTAAACGTCTTTTAAACTTTCTTTTCGTAGAAATATTTATAAGACATTAAAAAGACATTTAAAATACGTTCAGAAAGTAACTTTTAAAAACAAATGCCCGCTGGGTTAGTTTTAATAACATAAGTTTTTTAATTTAGTTTTATCACTAAAGATAGTTTATGCTAATAACTAACTTAACTTATAAAAGGTTACTCTCGCATTTTTTCTTCAATATGCTTAACTTTGTTTACTGTTTAAATCTTATATTATGATTGGAATATTGATATTTTTTACTTTAATTAAAAGTACCTTTAAAAACACCTTGCATAAATCTTGTTACTAAAGTCCAATAAAAGGAGGTACTAAATCCAAACAAAACTGTCGAAATAGTTTGAAATATTCCTGAAATCAATAAAACTGTTTTAGGATCCATCTTGTCCAATAAATATCCCCAAAGCAATCTAAAATCAAAAAACTAAGCAGTCATAAAACAAATAAACAATGCATATAATTATTTATTTATTTTATTGTTACTATTAAGTAAAATACATTAAATTTAAGTTTAATATTTTTTAGCACTAGAGGCCTTTCAAAAATTTATCAGTAGTGCTTTTTATGTTATCAAAATAATATTTTCTTTTTTTAAATAGAAAATGACAGCTATCCATAGTGTAATTTGTATAACTATTATGGTCAATTTTTTTTTTATGATTCTAACAGGAAATGTCAATTAAAAAAGTCATGTTTTTGTATGTGGAGATGTTTTTCAAAGGGAATTAATTTTTGTTAATTTTTGAGTTCCAAAATAACAAAAAGTTAAAAGAAAGGTTCTCTACTTGTATTATGTGCACGTTGGCAATTATAAACATGATTATCAAATCTATCTGTTGATTGTCCGGTTCTATAAAATTCTAGAAAATTGTTCATTTGTACGAGTTAAATTATTAGTTTTTCCGGTGTATGTAGTTTTCATATTGCAAGATAGACATTTTAAATAGTAGTATATTTTTACTATTGCATTTATATGACTTTTTATATTCCATATGAAACCATTTGATGTTGTAATGTCTTAACTTCTTCAAGGTAAAATTTGCATATATTACAACGATTATTTTTACATTTAAATAATTCTATTTCTTTTTTGACTAAACGGAACTTTGCAGAGGTCACAGGTCAGTTCTACAAAACATCATAAATGAAATGAAATTATTGATAAAGTTTAAAAATCAAACTCTCTATATATAGAAATAAAACCACCAGAAAACGTCAAGGGTTAACCAATTATTACAGGAATTACCTCGCCAACATCACACCTTAGTCAGTTTTAACACATAATTTTATCACTTATTCTTATAAAACAAAAAACTTTCATTAAAGATAATTGGGATTTTTTAAAAATGATATCAAAAGATTTAAAGAGAGAAAGATGCATTTTGATATGTGACATTGTTAACCTCTATACTAGTATTCCACTCAAAGGATTAGAAGTTTTAAATTTTTGGATTGCAAAACATAAAGATATAATAGATAAAAGATTTATTCAAGAGTTTATATTAGAATCAGCATCTTATATTTTAGAAAACAATAACTTTCTGTTTAATGACGAAATTTATCACCAAATTTAAGGAACAGCAATGGGTACTGATTTTGTTCCAGACTACGCATGCCTCACAGTTGGGTTTTTAGTAAAAACAAGTCTTTTTCATAAAGTCTTTTTAGTAAAGTTTATGATTTCATTAACTAAAATAGATAACTCGATCAGTTTTACAACAGACCAAGGCAAAAAATTTATAAGAGATGGTAACATTTACAATGTAATTATTTATTTAGACATATTTATTATTCTTAAAAATGGAAAATTAAAACAAACATATATTATAAAGAATCTAATACTCATGATTACCTAAATTATAAATGTCATCACCTTTATCACATAAAAAAGAATATCGCTTTCAATCTGGCTAAAAGAATAATTGTTTTCTCATCTGATTACGAAAAAGAAAAGCAACGATTAGTATAACTAAAAAAATGGCTAAAAGAATGTATATATCCTGATAATATTATAAAAAATGCTTTTGACAATGCAAAACTTCAAGGACCAGCTCCCCAAAATCAACCTTAAGAAATCTTTCCCTTAGTTACAACTTTTTATAGCAACTTGAATTGTCAACTTTTCCTAACCGAAAATAATTTTTTACTTTATCTTCAAATGAAAGAGTAAAGGAAGTATTTTCAAATATCCAGCCAGTAAATGCATTTAAATAACCACCCAATCTGTTATTAATTCTGACCTCTGCAAAGTTCCATTAAATTGAAAAAAAAAAAATTATTATTCAAATGTAAAAATAATCGTTGTATTATATGCAAATTCTACCTTAAAGAAGTTAAAGCATTTACAACATCAAATGGTTCTATATGGAACATAAAGAATCATATAACTTGCAAAAGTAAAAATATAATATATATATATATATATATATATATATATATATATATATATATATATATATATATATATATATATATATATATATATATATATATATATATTTATGAAATTAGGTTCGGCTGGGCATTTTTCTTATGTCTTTGACTGTATGATACTGAGAACCAATTCTCTTTTATTTGCATTTAATGTTTAGTCAGGTAATTTTCAGCTTTAAAATTTTAGTTTTATCATAAATATGTAATTTTTTCAGTGTTTTGTCAATTTTTTTACTATTATCATCTTCAAAACACTTTAAATCAATTATATGTCTCAAACTACACCTATATTATCAATAAAAATATCAAAATTTGATCCTAAATTATTGTAACTAAGGGGGTGTTTTACCATAGAATTGAGTAATAGTTAATTTTGAAAAACGTATTGATGCATTTCCGAAAATTTTGTTTATGTAAACAAAATTTGGACCACTAATAACAGTTTTATTAGTTATTATAAAGAAGAAATAGTACGTATGTATTTATTGTATAGAAATAAGTTTGCAGTTATAATGAATGCCTCAAAACACTCGTGATAAAGTTAAATGTAAATTAACAAAGCTAACTAGTACAAGAAAAACATTATTAGAGTCAGAACTACCAACTTTAAGCGATGTTTTAAGATACGGTCTCATTCTTAAAAAGATTGAAGAAAATAACCAAAATTTAAGGCTAATTTTCGATAAATTGTAAACCTCAGTAAAATATTTATGGCAAAAAGCTTAACCTTTTATACCCACTATCTCTGATAAAAGAGGAAAAGAAAGAATTAATTATGACTAGAAAAAAGCATATAATCTGTCGTTACGGAAACATCTAAGCAATTTTTTGATCATAAGATAATCTTAGATAAACCGTTTGACATTAGTGTAAATGTTAAATAAAATCATGCAAAGAATCCGATTGTTATTGCTGCAACCAAGTTTTTCATATTGTTTGCAAATGTTCTCAGAAAAATAAAATTCCTAATATTGAACTTAAATTTTTAAAGTCATTAGAGATAAAGTTAGTTCTAAAAGTAGAATGCAAATAGGTTCAGTTGATAGAAAAGAAGTATCCAAACAAACAAAATATCATCAAAGAAAGCAGAACAAATTAAAGAGAGTTAGGATTAAGACTGCACTGTATTCTAATATACTATCTCAAATACCAAAATAAACTACACAAAAATAGGACTGATGTGCATAAATGTACACATTACACGTACACGTCCTATAAATAATATTTTGCTTTAGTTTCATAGTAAAAATTGAACAAGACGACGTGTGTACATTTGTACACATTGTGTACGAGGGGGTTATTAACAATCCAATGATTGCAGCAAACTTCCCAATTCACGGTCAATCTAATGAACGCATTGTGAAAGAGGTTCCAGGGATTCAATTTTAGTGTGTGGTGCCGGGAGAAGAGACGGGTTCAAAAGGGCTACAATGGCTCATAGAGAGCTGATGCCTGTGTGCCACTCAAAGAAAGATCTGATGCAAATTTTGTAATTAGTTTATTGTAATCAAAATTTTAAAATCAACTTTTTAGTATGAGTAAACAACTTATTTTAGAAAAATATGCAGAAAAATGTAGTTATCAATATTTTGTCTTACTACGTGTATTGACTTAATATACCATAAAATTGTAATTTTTGATTTTTCAAAATTTTTCAAAAGTGACCTACCTTGTTGTTGTTATTATTGTTATTTTATTAGATTGCTTTTTGAAAAAATGAAAATATCGAGATAGTGTTCTTCAACTCTTAATTACATAATGCTAGTTAGAGAAAAGCTGTATAAACCTTTTGAAGTTAAATACTTTTGTCTTTGGTCCTTGACAACTTGAAGTATATATTGTTTTTGTACTTCATTGCGGGTACAACTCGAGTTGAACCAACCCTATCCCAAATTCAAACAAGTCATTGACAACTTTGAGTGACAGCTCAAAATGTTTGCTTTCATAATAATCTGGTTGAGATTCTCACTCACAGGAATTTACAAGAATTCCTGGTATATGCCTAAAATTGTTAAAAAATATTTATTGTTTTATGTAAAAAAATTGTGAAGTTTTAAAGCAAAAAGGTACCAAGGGTTGCAGACAGATAACAAAGGTGGAGCTCAAAAGCTGTGGAAGACTTGGCAATTTCAGTGTTTCAGAGGAAGACTTGGCAATTTCAGTATTTGGATATTCAGATAAAGCACAGCGTGGTCTTATTGAGGAGCAGGGCTTGCAGCTGTATTTTCAAACAAGAGTTTTAGATGTACTTTAGTGATGAACAAACTTACTTATTGCAGGTTATGCCATATTTTCTGACCATAAGAAAGACCGCAAGAAGTTCGACTTCAGGTTTTGAGTGTAGTGAATCATATTTTTCTATAAAGACGGACAATATAGCCTTATCTAAATAGAAAAACGGCCCTCATCATCAAACCATTCTTTTTATTAGCACCAGGTTACCAAAACCATATTCCACCTTTAGGAGTGCTATCAATAAGAAATAATGGAAACACTAAAAATATTAGCACTTTTAGATAACCCTATTTTTAATTATTACCGGTTGAACACATTATTGGAAACCCTCTAATCCGTCCACTTGCCAATGCGAGGAGTTAAACTAAGTAAAAGTAAATTTTTATTAATATGAAAAAATAGTTGGTTGTCCTCATATTATTCTGGTCTTTTTAGTCGATAAGGGCACAATAAATAAGTAGTAAACATATATATTTTTTTTAAATCCACTACAAAATAACTCAAAAAATTTATTACTGTATACCTAATGATTTTACAATTTTCTTAAGCAATTGAAAATGTGTCTAACTCATTTACTAATAACACTCCATCACATGCACTTTTTAACTTGTTTTTTGAAACATAACTAAAGGCTATAGAGACCATAAATGTTTTCCTGCAAAATCAGACACAAATAGATAAGCAGAGATAATAATTTTCCATTATTTTTACTTGTTTTCCAAAAGATTATTCCAGAATGATA